AGGATCGTAATTTGCCGCGCTGCTGGGCGTCGCGTGCGACGTCCGCCCGCAAAGGACGATGGTTTCAGGCAGTAGATGGCGACAACATGCAATTAAGGACCGAAAACAGTAATGAGTGTCTACGATGACGGGGTCTACATGAAGTCCGGTGCTCCATTCGACAGGTTAAAACGAGTTATGAAAACGCCGCGCCCATCGCCGCGCGTGGAATTACGATCCTCTTTACCGTCTCCCAGTTTTCTCTGCGTAACGCACACCATACGGGTGTTCGACTGACGTCGAGGTACGGATCAGGAGATCTACGTCTAAACACTAGCCAGTCGGCTCCACATACTGCAGCAATTCCTTCGGGTCTCTCTTGAGGCGAGTTCGGTGCACATGGCCGCCCTTGCAATGTCTTCCCGCAGCATCGTGGATCTCCTTGCTCACCTCGCGATCCACCTCGCGACGCCAACACTGGGTGGAAGGAGGTGTAGGGATGCAGCCAAATCCTGGATGATGTCGCTCAGTCAGAAAAGCTGTAGTCACTACTTCAAAGGAGTATGCTGTACTTGGAAGCGGAATCTAAGCTGACGGTGAGAGGTAGAGCCGGCCGTCGCACGATGTCCTCATTGGCACCTCTTCTATGGCATACGGAATGGGGATCTAATGAGAAACGCTTATTTTTTACGTGAGGAATGTCTGGGATATTGAGTTTACTGTGAGTACGATAGGTGACAAAGAAATTCATAGCCCAAACAGTCCAGTTTTTACGACAGCTTTGCAAGGAAAAGGGTTTTACCTTATCCATTCCCTGAAATATCAAAGAGGGCCCTACGTCTTGCGTTCGCCCTGTGCGGTCGGCTAATCAATCGGCTCTGATGTATCCCCAACCTATCGCCTATAAACCTGGTCAGGCTGTATCTTCGGAAACTGCCTTTATGACTCAAATAATGGCTAGCTCTATACTGGACAACGACGGTATATCTCTTCTCAAAAAAATTAACGATATTCTTTCAATCAAAGCTCCTGAAGTCGTTGGGCTCTTGGACCAATTCTTAGGTAAGTTGCCCTTGTTCATTAATAATGTTGTCGAAAGCGATAAAAAGGAAAGATCCATAGTCCTGTATGGTGTACCTGAGGCTGAACGTGGCCTATCTCCGTCTTTGCGTCAAGCTCATAGGTCATATCCAGCACCTCGACATAGAAACCCGGCCTGTCGAAGTCTACAGGATGGGTAAAGTCATAGAGGGTAAACCACGTCTAGTGAAATGCGTTTTTTCTTCTCGTAGATTTCTTTTCGAAACTCTATCTAAGGCGCACAGATTACGGGCCATGGAACCTTATGAGGGCATCTTTATACGCAAATCGATGTCCACAGATGAGCGTAAAAGGACCGCGACCTACGGATCAATGCGCGTGAGTTGAACTTGAAAGAATTCAAAGGTGAGCGTGTTTATGTCGTATACAGAGGAGAAATCGTGAAAGTTTCCGACATTCCCTCACTAAAAAAGAACCGAAACTCTTCATTGTCTCTTTCAAAAAACTAGTTTCCTCTAAAATGCGTTCTTTGCACTGTCTCTTGTTGAATGCTAGAAGCCTGGTCAAAAAAATCCATCATTTACACTGCCTGATTGAATCCACGAAACCGGCAATCATTTTCGTCACCGAGACCTGGCTGAACTACAATATTTCTGACGCTGAACTCTTGGTTTCCCATATACGATTTTGCGACAAGATAGGTCTGGCAGAGTGGGTGGTGGAGTATGCGTTTTTATGCACAATTCTCTTTTGTTTGAGAAAGGTGTCTTTGATTACTGTTCGCTGAGCTCAGATGTTTTATGTCTAGATCTCTATTTGCCTTGCTCTCTTAAGCACAGATTGATCTTAGTTTATCGCCCTCCCCGTTCATCCACGTCACAAGATGAAGAATTGATTCAAATCATACAAGATCTCGTGTCAACGACAACTTTCAACTCGACTGTTCTTGGTGACCTGAACCTTAATATAAATTGGGAATCTCATGTGGCTTTGCAACCGGAAGCGCAGAAATTTCTGACTTTTTTGATACCTTATTTCTGAGTCAATTTGTGACTTTCCCTACTAGAGAAAATAGCATCCTTGATATCATACTATCTGATCAACAGAATATTTCCAATGTGTCCCCTCATGCTCCCTTGTCAAACTCGGATCACAATGTAATTTCGTTTCAGTTGTCGGCTCCTATGCCCAGGAAGGAGGTGTTTTTCAGAAGAGATTTCAAAAACGCGGATAATGACAAAATTGTTCATGCTCTTACTAGTATCGACTGGTGGAGTGTCTTTAACTCTTATGTTGACATTGATGATGTTTATTCCCGGTTTATTGCCATCCTTCACGAAATCATCGATCGCCATGTACCCCTCGAACAGTTTGAGAGACACTCCTCCAGTAGGTATCCAAAACATGTTCTGAACCTTTTTAACAACGTGATAGGCTTCTTTCATACACTTGTAGAGCCTTCTAAAAGCCCGTTGTTTAGAAAAGTAACAAAAGAACTGGAATTTCATATAAAGCGCTTCCTAACTTACAAGGTTAAGAAAATGGCAGCATGTAAACATATGAAAAGGCTTTATGAATACATAAATAAGGTGAAAAAATCGCCTAACTTGCACAAGGTCCTTGAGGACTCGGAAGGCATCAAGTATACCACAGATAGTGCCAAGGCAGAGGCGTTAGCGGATTACTTTGCAAGTGTATTTGAAAAGTCACCTTTATTTACACCCACTCTGCCAAGCC